TGACCGAACAACAACTCACTGAATCCTTCGAAGCAGCCAACGCGGACTCTCCATTTGCTCTCCTCCCCTCGGCTCGGCACCGGGCTGGAATTAACCGCATCACAGGTCAAGCGCCTCAGCAAGCTGCTAGCCTGGTCCTGGGCTGCCCGGATCTGTTACAATCAGCGTATAGGCAAATCAACTAGCTGCCTCTTACCGTGAGCATCCTCCCAGTCGTCTTGAGGTCTAGGAGATCATCAGCCACACCAGGAGTGGCCTCTCGCTGGAGCTGTGAACAGCTTCCGAATCGTTCCTACTCACTAATCATCACACTGAAAGACATACGGTGCGTTACCAGAGGCTCGTCGGGCGCCGAAGTCATCACTTGAGGACTACTTGACGATGATGAGGAAGAGGACTGAGGGGAAGAGCGAATCTCCTGTGCAATCCTCAGAAGCGACTCACCGAAGAGGCCCAGTCGAAATGCACGAAGTTGAACCAGCCTGTGCTCGCACTGTTCGCCACCGAGGCGGTAGTGAACACCATCTGGGTGGTAGTGCTTGCCGTGCTAGTCGTAGTGATACGTGTGACAACCTGAAGCCACTGATTCGAGTGTGAATTTTTTTCACACCGTTACCGATGATGAGGATGACGCTTCCCAGCTGAAGTGGACAGCTGCTCCTCCGCTTTGGGTCTGGTAGTCTGACGGCGTAGGGGAGGGCATCTCCGACTACACAGAAGAGTTCACCCAACCACAATGTGCTCAACTACACGTGACAATAAGCGAATAACTAAGAATTCTCCTTGGTTTTTACACATTTCGAATCACGTGCAGAGAAAAGTCTGTGATTGAAAAAACAAAACATATTGCAATCTCGAACTCACCGGTCTGTATCCACCCCATAGGATGGACAGCAGCTCCGCATCCCAGTAGGCGCCACAAACAATACGATAAGAAACTCCGGCGGAGTCCCAGCCTAATAACACCAAGCATGTGAAGCGTCCAACACTGATTCCCCACCTGTAGCGTCGCGACACTTCGTCTTAATCTGCCACTTGCCACTTTTATCCAATTCAGTCGGTTGGCCATCCGCTCCATCACAGGACAGTGTCACCACGTCGGGGAAGCCAAATGGGGTCAGCTGCACCGGGCATGAGGTGATTTCCTGCTAACACTAATCTCACCTGCATAATTCGACCAAGGTTGTCCACGGCAAGGTCCATGACTTCGTCCATTTCTGCTGCCACTGCGAACTCCGGCTGTGCGTATGTACAGCTGGGGAACCGCGTCTAGGTTAGAGAGAACATTCCAAGCACAAGAGAGAGCGATAGGCAGCCATACATGTGGCCGGGGTGAAGGAGGTGCGCCTGTCGGTAGTGGTTGGGGAGGTAACTTCTCGCTTGCCGAGGCCTGGCTCGAACCAGAGGACTAAGCTCAGTGGATACATAGTCGCCCTGGATGCGGAGCACTTACCTGCCAAGAGTACTGCTGGAAATAGCTCAACCATCCTGAGCTCCGTGTGGTCTGAGTCTGGGTCGTGGTAGTAGTCGTAGTGGTCGTTGCTGTAGTGCTCGTCGTAG